GCTATTCTGTAAGCAGTCGAAATGTGAGTTTGGTGTCAAGGATGTTCTGTTTCTAGGGCATCGCATCGACGGTGAATGTATCGCTCCAGATCCAAGGAAGCTTAAAGCAGTGAGGGAATGGCAGCCACCGACGACAGTTACGGAGGTGAGACAGTTCCTTGGTTTTGCGAACTACTTTTATTGAGCACTACTCTACTATATCGCGGCCATTAGAGGAAATCACTGGCAAACATGCCAGGTTCGAATGGAGTGGCCCCCGTCAGCATGCATTCGAATCCCTGAGACAGGCCTTGTTGAGTGCACCGCTGTTGAAACTAGCAAACGTGCAGAAGCCTTTCAGAGTTGCAACAGACGCAAGTGATTTTGCAATAGCAGGCGTCCTTCTCCAACAGGGGGAAAGCGATAGTGCTTGGCATCCTGTGGCATATGCCAGTCGTAAGCTGTCACAAGCTGAGCGAAATTACACTGCTGCAGAACGCGAAACCCTGGCGGTGGTGTTTGCACTGCGATCCTGGAGAATTTATCTATTCCAGCATTTTGAAGTGTTCAGTGACAGCATGGCCGTAGTCTACTTGAGCACAAAAGCCAATCTCACTAAGCGCGAAGCTAGATGGGTTGAATTTCTTGCAGACTATGACTTCACAGTTAATCACAAACCCGGCAAGGAAAATATGGCTGATGCGTTATCCCGCCGCCCTGATCTACGCGGGTCGGCAATTGGCAATGTAGTTGAGGAAAAGTATTGCCCACCCATCCTACCAGCACCCCATTTGAATACGATTGAGTTTGCTTTGGAACTGAGTGATAGTGTTGCTGAGATGATTTCGGAAGCATATCAGAATGACGAGCAGCTTTCCCCAATAATTCAGCGGCTGCGCGGCGATTCCTCTGATAATCTACACGAGCGGTACTATTGGGATGAAGAGTCCAGGTACCTATACCTCCGTGCAGCCCCAAACAATCGCTTGTGTGTACCCAAGTGTGCAGTAAGGCTTCAGCTCCTGCAGGAGTACCACGACTGTGTTACGGCAGGCCATCAGGGACGGGATCGTACATATTTCCGGCTTCGTCAATTCTTCTATTGGCCCAAGATGGGCCTTGACGTGAAGAAATTTGTTAAATCTTGCGGCATATGTCAGCGCACTAAGGGTGGGTTGCCTAGATCCGCTTTGCTGCAATCGCTCCCAGTACCAGACACCCCCTGGAAAGATATTTCCATGGACTTTATCGTTGGCTTACCCCAGACCCCTCAGGGCTTTGATGCAATTTATACATTTGTTGACCGGCTTACAAAATGTGTCCATTTGGTCCCCACGACTTCCAAAATTGACGCTAAGGGTTCTGCTGATTTGTATCTCCAGAATGTGTTTAGATTACACGGTTTGAGTTCCACTATTGTTTGTGATCGGGACCCAAGATTTACTTCTGAATTTTTCCGGGAATTGTTTCATCAATTAGGTACCACCTTGTCGTTTAGTACTGCCAATCACCCACAGACCGATGGGCAGACTGAGAGAATGAATAGAGTAATTGAGGATGTGCTTAGAGCGTTTGTTAACCACAAACAAGATAATTGGGACAAGCTTCTGCCTCTTTGCGAATTTGCAATTAATAGTTCATATCAGTCTTCCACTTCTAGCACGCCGTTTTATCTAAATTATGGACTTAAAGGGGAAGTATACCCTAAAATCAAATTTTCACCAGTTGTAGTCTTCTGGGTGCTGAGTCGAATGGTCTTGGTCCGAGGAAGCTGCGACGCTCCCTTCCTACTTGAATCCCAATCGAACTCGCGCACTTCCACCGAAACTGGGTGACTGCGCCCTACTAGATGGGGATTTGTATGCAAAATGTCACTAAAAGCGCCATTTCGTTCTTATAAAAGCACAGATGACCGCGATTGGCCCATATGTTGTAGTCTTTTGGACGCTGAGTCGACTGGTTTTGGTCCGAAAAGGCTGCGATGCAGCGTTCCTCCTTTATTCCCAATCGAACATGGTTGAACAAGCGGTCACGTGCTCCTGGGTGCCCAAATCACCTGGTCACCGCGCCAGCAGGCGACAACTTTCACACCAAGGTTCAACTCGAGTTCAACTCGAGTGACGGGACTGCACCCAAAAAAGGTCAAACAGGCTAGTAAGTTGTACCCTGCAGGCACGGTGACCAGGTGACTGGTGTACGCAGGAGCACGTGACCGCTTGTTCAACCATGTTCGATTGGGAATAAAGGAGGAACGCTGCATCGCAGCCTTTTCGGACCAAAGCCAGTCGACTCAGCGTCCAAAAGACTACAACATATGGGCCAATCGCGGTCATCCGTGCTTTTATAAGAACGAAATGGCGCTTTTAGTGACATTTTGCATACAAATCCCCATCTAGTAGGGCGCAGTCACCCAGTTTCGGTGGAAGTGCGCGAGTTCGATTGGGATTCAAGTAGGAAGGGAGCGTCTCAGCTTCCTCGGACCAAGACCATTCGACTCAGCACCCCGAAGACTACAACTGGTGAAAATTTGATTTTAGGGTATACTTCCCCTTTAATCCCAAGTCCCCACCAGATTTCCTGGCACGGAGGGGAGGAGGGAGTGCCCCAGACTGGATCCAGGATCGGGCGGATGCCGTCAAGTTGGCAAAGGACGCCATGATTGCCGCTCAGGCTAGACAAGCTCAGTATGCAGACAGGGGAAGGGTGCCCAGCAACCTGAAGGTTGGCGACATGGTGCTGGTGTACAAGGATTTCCTAACAACCGCAGAAGCCCGGGATCAGCCTTCACAGAAGCTACGCCCTAAGTGGTTCGGGCCCTACCCAATCATCAAGAAGATCGGACGCAACGCCTATCAGCTGGATCTACCCAGCGCTATTCGGTGCCACCCTGTCTTCAATGTCACTGCTCTGCGCCGGTATGAGCAGAATACTATTCCCGGCAGGCGGCAGCCACCCCCGCCACCGTTCATTGACTTGCGGGTCAGACCAGATACATGGTGGAGAAGATTCTTGACGACCGCCAGCGAAGGCATCAGACTCAGTACCTTGTCAAGTGGCAAGGGTACCCAGACGACGAAGCCACCTGGGAGCCAGAAGGGAACTTGCTGGACGAGGCCGGTAGGCCGATAGTTGCTCTGAGGCGTTACAGGGCGTCCAGGGCATGTTAGTGACACTATGGTTACCGCGAAATGTTACTCGCTCAAATTCAATTGCACGTGTACCTTGAGAATTCCCACTTGATCCTTGTTGTGTTCAGCCATCCATTCCCCTCCTGTTTTAGATTTTCCCCATTTCCGCTATCTTCACTCGCCTGACTGTCCTTGGTTACCTTGCACGGTGCTTCAATTAGATGAGCGTTGTTGGGTTGACACGATTTCATTTGATTATTCCCTTTCCACATATTCCTCGACTCCCTGGAGGCACCTGTGCCTCGCTTAGGAGGGAGGGATGGTGTAACAGTTCCCTGTTAGCGCTAACCTTATCTGCCCTCTAGCTCTGTATCTTGCACCTTTCCCTATCCTGTCAGCACTCGCGTTATCACCTTAGGGCACGAAGTGCCCTATATCAGTTGTGTTGCCTTGAGCAAGCATTGTCTTTTCCAAGAATACCTTCAAACGGTTACAGTAGGTCTACACTGAACGTTCACTGTCTGGAGCGACCAAGGTCCAGGCAAGGATGTCCTTTCAGCACAAGCAGCTACATGTATTACCTACCACTTTCGCAAGCTACTGGCGGCAGCTTTGTTTTGTGTTTATGATACCGGTTACAATACATGTACTGATGTAGTTCCACAGCAATGATCGGGACCGCCAATTCTCTCTTTGCTGCTACCCCGTGTAAGTTTAGTTTCGTGTCGAAAACTCTCTCATCAGACTCCAAGTAATTAGTTCTAGTAGTATTGGACGGCAGCACAGTAGCGAGGCTCAGGGAGTCAGAGTGGCTGAGAGTGCTACCTCGCACAAGTGGCGGGGATGTTGCTAGAGTCCCTGAGCCATGGACCGGGGTAACGACGTGTCTCTTTCCGCGTCTCACCTTCTTCGCGCCAACACGTCAAGTGCTAGTACGGACGTCCTTCTCAAGTGCTAACTTAGTAGATCTACGGACGTCCTTCACGCTGGAAAACTACACGACTACTATTGTATTACAGTACTGTCACCCTTTCACTTCACACTCACAGCCTCCACTGCTCCAGACAGTCTGACTGCAGTGAGTAGTCCTTGCCGACTTGCTGAGTTCTCATTCAAATATCGGACTCGTCAGCAATCTCTGGCTCGGGTTCCAAACCTCGCCTCGCACGGATACCTGGCAGAATGACCGGAAGGGATGCATGGAACTGCGGAGACGGAAGAAGTCAGCTTTGCGGCAGGCAAGCTCGCAAAGCAACGGCTGAGCGAAGACCGAGGTTGGTTCATTTATGTACCCAGCTCATTGTCACGCTGCTTTCTTTGTCACCGGTATCTCTCTTCTCTCCCACTGTACTGTAGAAAACACCTCGAATGCGCTGTCTTGTATGTACTTCAGTAAGAGTTTTGACTTTTGTGTTGCTTTGGCCTCGTAAAAATGTTCCGCTCATAGTCATACCACTGTCTCGGTCGACCGAAGCAAACTGTAGCTCGCTACGCGGAACGTTGCTACCGACTCTAGCTAGACATAGGCTATAGGTTACTGAGTGTTCTAGTCTGGAATATTAATAATAATACTGACTATTGAGTATTGTAGCTGTGTAACAACAGGAGACCAACACTCCTACACAGGCCTCAGTCAGTCTACATGGTCTACCATGGCATAAAGACCGCAGTCCACAGCAGTACAGGTCAGAGCCTCTCCCAGATCTGTTTGACGAATATGGCAACATGGCTAAAATGCTCTTGTCGCTTGTCACTGAGTCCGTCAGTGTCAGCCGTCAGTAAAGATCGTAGTCCGTAGTCTCTCATTCTAAATCAGTAAATGGCTACATGTATGTTCGATCGCGCAGGTCTACATTATGATTGTGGTTGTACGACAGCCTGTTCATGTGCATACGTACGTGCAGTGCTATCCGGTGAACGCCTCGAAAACGACCGCCTCCCTTGGCCCGTCATGGATACTTTGTCTTGTCGTAACATCACTCCAGTTATTCACTTACTGTAGTTGCTGCTGCGTTGGAGACGCTCCATTTCGCTTGTAGAAAAAGAAGGCAGTCGTTGTCGAGTGGACTCTTCAGGGTCAGAATCGGTCCGTAATTTATCCCAGTAGAATTGTCAACGTCGGAATTCCCTGAGTACCGTAAATTTAATGTGAGTGAGGACGGTTGACCTTTCAATCATCGATATTGCACCCCTACTACACTACAGTGCACTGCCGCGTCCAGCGCCTAGCTGTTAGCGGAAAATGTTCCGCAGAAAGAAACGGTCGACTGCTTTTTCTCCTACGGGAGAAGGCAGGGCATTCGTAAGTACGGATAGTTTCGGACAGTTTCGATCTTCTGTGTAGCTGTGAATGACTAGTGGGGGCATGCGAGGCAGAACTACGTGCGGTCGCTGGTGTTAGGTGCATTGTATGCCAATTGTGTCACAACTTATTCTTAGTCCACTCCGCACAGGTGTGTGCAAGTGCGTCTTGGTCCACACACTGTGCATATGTGTGTGCTGGAACTTTCCATTGCACTCCTAGTAACTCATTTACATGCACATGTAGATACAACGCCATGACGTCACTGGGTGTACCTGGTGTGTGTGTGTGTGTGTGTGTGTGTGTGTGGTAGTTATCGGCGGATAATGCTAGAAGAATTGGCGGGTTCTGGTCGAGAAGCAGTGAAATTTGCAGAACCACACATAACAAACCTTATGGCAGGCACTTCCTTGAATTCTGCTCCATTTCTTTATCCACATACAGCGGAGATTGGATATACAGTCAACTTCGCCAATAACGACTGCGGATATAACGACAATTCGCGAATAACGACAGAATTGACATGCCCAGAGCAAAGTCCATTCTACCTGTATACATACATGTACAATGAGACTTCGGGTGTAATGATACTTCGCAAATAAGGACACTTTTCTGATGCCCGGCCGAGTGTCGTTATATGCAAAGTTGACTGTAACGACACCCCTTTGGGAGAAAGCAAAATGTCACTATACATGTATTTTGTTTGTCACTAAACCCGATCTTTACATTAAATTTTAGCATGCAATATGTCTATCACAATGACAGAAATATATTACCAAGAGTATAATTATAAGCCCCCCAAGAGCGTGCAACTCCTGATACCCTTTCTATGGGGTACGCCGACAGCAAAAACTCACATCGCGTGTCGTAGCGTCGGAGTTGGACGTGTCCAGCCCGTTTTAGCGAGCAGCGGGGGTATAGGCAAGACACCAAGCACCGTCCAGCTGGGTCAGCATTGTCTGAATCATGCATGCAGTCACCATGCATTGACTATGGTGTATACTTGGAAGTACACTAGGCGTTTGGGAGTTGGCCTGCGGTATCATGCCTGTAGTGATCTGTGACAGTGGTCCAGTGATGTAGAAATACCGGTACAGTACATTAAACATGCATGACTAAGAGTGAGACCTGTGAAGTTCTTATTCACACTTTCAGACAAGATGAGCACAGGTCAAATGCTCATCAATGTACTGGGTTCATAAGGCCTCCACCGGCAGTTCCCTGATAGTTGTTATAGAGGTGTGTGAATGGCATCACTGGAATCAGTCTCTTATCCTGATTGAGTAGCAAGCACGTGATAGTGTAGGAACATGTGTGTGTGTGTCTTTATGTACATGCTTGTGTGTGTGTGTGTGTGTGTGTGTGTGTGTGTGTGTGTGTGTGTTGTGTGTGTGTGTCCTTATGTTCACATGTGTGTGGGTGTGCTGTGGGTGCGTGTACAATATTATGCATGCGTGCACACGGTGGTACATGTATCCTGATCATAATAATATGCAGGATGATGAGCATGTCATGTCTGGTGAGGAAGAGGAGATGGCCATGTACTGGGAGCAGGAGGAGCTAGCTACGCAGAACCGCTGGGATGAGCAGGAAGAGATCGACTATCAGCAGATGGCTAAGCAACACAACCAGACACGTAAGATACTCTCCTCCTGCTCCTTTGTGTATGTGGGGGGGGGGGGGGGGTGCAATTCCATCCAACTCGTCGCACTTGCTGACGACAAGGACGCAGAGTGACTTCTTCTCGCTGGGTTTTCTCTCCCAGCAACTCTCCCACAGGTTCCACTGTGCTGCGTGTCGTTTCTTACGGTCGGCACTTGTATCCAGCACAAATACGTAGCCGTCAACGCCACCCGACCGGCCAAACTGCGCCTTCATGAAGCCGTCCGGCAAGCTTTGCTTTCTGATCGCGCTCCCAGCTATGTCACTGGCACTGGCCGTAGGACCAGCAGGACCAGCAGCAGAAGAAAAAGAAGTCAGCATAGTAGCAGCAGTAGCTGCAGAGACCGGGCAATCTCCTTCAGCTCCCAGGCCTAGGGCTGACATGCATGTGTGTAAGACGTTTTGCCGCTTGCTCTGGACTTGATTCGGTCGCTGGCAGCTCACTGCGCATAAACGCCGCCACCACCGGGAAATGACCTACCCAGCACGTCATTGCAGAAGGTAATGTGTTCAATAACATGGGCTGTCCGGTCCTTGGCAGCATCGCTGAAAGCAGTCATGGGGCCTCTGGACAGGTCTTGCTGCACCAAAGTACAGAAAGTGCTCGACATTGATATCCGGCTCGCAAAAGTCACCTTGTCCCATCCAGTGAAAATGGTCGTACCCGAGCTCCCTCCAGCTGTCCACAGACGGGTGTATGAAACGAGTGCACAGCGCTGATTTACCGACTCCACACAGCACAATCCGGTGACGGAAATATGCACACGGGGAAATATACACACAGTTTGGACCGGCCAGCGTTATCGCCGCCAGCTACAAAAAAAATAAATTGAAACCAATCACCAGTATGAGCAAGAAACTGTCAGAAAGAAAGATACCGGTATCCCACAGTCCACTTAGTCTTTCCTGTCGCCTGCGTTTCTGAGTCTTTCCTCTGTCGCCTGCGTTTCTCGTTTCTGAGTGGCACCTACAGAGAATCCGTTACTGGCAGGTCACCTACAGAGAAACCGTTACCGGCAGGTTAAGCAGTCAGCAGGACGGTAGCTGATTGTAATGTTGGATCTGTGGATCTTGCGAGTTCGCTCTGCTCGTAGCATGTGTGTGTGTGTATGTGTGTGTGTGTGCGCGTGCGTGCGTGCACGTGTGTGAACGCGCGTGCATGGCTCTAGTCCCTTAACTCTTGTACAGTCTTGGAGGTAATGTGCTCTTGACATTCGGCAAGAACCTCAATCTTCGGCAAGAAGATTTAGGACACACCAAGTTAATTCTATGTTTCGCGTCGGAAATTTCCTGGAAAAGGCACGGGGGTGGGCGAAAAAAAACAGAAGAAGAAGCAAAACTCCATTCTATGTGTACTGAGCCATGTTGCACTAGTATACTCAGTCTGTAAGCTGTCACTTATCAAAAACGACAAAACGTCGGCACAGTACAGCTGACAGACTGGGCTGGAGCGATACCTCAACAGATTTCATGGATAGCTTCTTCTGCAGTTTGACATGAGTCGAGTGGAATTCCTGTCCGTCACGACAATCTTGGAAAAGCTCTGAGTCCTTGACACCTGGAATCTCCGCTCGCTTGGTGAGCAGGCCCTCCCGGTTGGCTTGGAAAGAATTTTCATCGCTCGCACATTCTACGTACCATCGCCTAGAATGCAAGATTATCGATCTGCCATACTGGCTGGAGAAGGTTCGCCAGAACAGCCATCGATTAACTCGTTTGGGTACCTTTTTTTTCTTGGCAACGATTCGAAAGGTAGGCGCGCGGTGATGCGAAACATAGAAATAACTTGTTGTGGCCTTAGGCAAGAAACAACAATCTACCTCACTTAGTACAATGAAGTCCGTTGTCCAGAAACCGGATTTCTGAAGAAAGATGATGTCATTTGTAGTACAGTCAGACCTCGCTTATCCGGTCCTCTTTTATCCGGATCCCTCGCCATCCGGAAGAAAATCGTTGGTTACTGATTTACAGCATATGTAGTGCATACATACAGTATGTGTGTTCGATTATCCGGTTCCCTCACCTATCTGGAATTTTTTTGTGGAAAACGGATGTATGCGGTTAAGCAAGGTCTGGCTGTATTATAATTATTATTGCAGTGTCGATCACATTTTGTATCTCTCATTTTATTATCCACGGGTACATGACTGTGTCGTTTCCAAGTTTGGACTTCGCAGAGAATTTCAAAATATTGGGAAGTTCGGCCACATGCTTGCTGCTCTTTTTCTCTCCGAAAACTCGACACGTCATCTATCAATCATCTTGTTCTCTACTGCTTGCTTGTGTTGTGTGGGCATGATGCTGCTTGTGTTGTGTGGGCATGATGCTGCTTGTGTTGTGTGGGCATGATACTGCAGGTGCCCCGGACATGGTCAGCTATAATAGACTTGTGACGCGCACAGTGAAGGTAAGTGCTGGCTGTAAAGTATACCATTGGGGGGCGGATCAACGGTATTTTCTGGTATGCACGGGGCCATACACGAGGTTCATGTACGTAACCTCAGTCATAGTAACGGCTTGTTCTGCCAAAGCGTCGACTGCTGTAAAGGGATTCAAGTGATTCGGTATTAGGAGACTGAGTTTTTCACTGCGATGAGACCATAATTATGCCGGTGAATGAAATTTCAGACAAGGTAATGCTCTACTGTCGTGGACAAAGAACTATTCTCTAAACGTGCTTTCATACTCTGGTTTTCACATTGTTGACCATGTCTCGGTGTGTTCTGCTCTTCCGGTTGCAGTTTCTTGGTATCATTCGAGGCCTTCAGGACAATCGGCCATCGGCGGATGACTGCTTGGAGTTGATGGATGCCATTGACAAAGCACAGGTATGCTTGCACTCGGTGATTAGTCGCCAGTCAGGCTGCAGTGGAGCAGACACTACTAGTACTATCTTGTCCACTTTAAAACTGGCCACCTTGCTGGCAGGTGCCCGCAGTCGAGTCTTTAACATGTCCTCCTTTTCGTGATGGTCAGCATAACTGCGGTTGTGCTCTTTGAAATCCAACCTGAAGTACAACTCTGGCACCTAGCACCAGCTCCGTTCACACACTATGATCCGGCACTGCATGTGCACATGCGTACGCCCAGCAGCATTCCCACCACTTCCAGAGCGTCAAGGGCCGTGCAAGTCCAGCCAGAGCGCCAAATATGCACTTTGGGTGGGATTTCACTTAGCAAAACTGTACTCAATCACAGCATGCAACTTGAGGTCGAAACCATCAGCTCTTATAATGTGTATGGTTGTGAATGAACTTTTTAAGGTAGCTCATGCCGAAATACTTTTCCGAAAATTCATCAGTTTGACACCTTTTTGCAATGCTAGGGGTGTCCAGAATGAGAATCATTATTAGGGTATGTATTTGGGCACTTTGGAGGGGTTATTTTATGGCCCCTCGAAGTAGTCCGCTCTAAACAAGGCGTTCTCTAAGAAAGAGACAAGTTTGCATTGAGGACACTAAAATGCTTGATACCTTCATCTGTTGCTTCATGCAATCATGTCAGTAATTCCCATAGTATCAGAACATGTCAGGGTAGAGCCAGTTTACCAGCAAAAATACACTGGTTGAAAGTACTTGTTTCTGTGTGAGGAGACAAAACTGGTATTCCGAACCCCGATTCGATATGGTGCCAAAATGCTTTGAAATTTTGTTAAAATGGCCCGAAAATGATTGAGTTTTCTTGCTATTTGCATCGCACTACGTCAGTATCATAAAGTTATGTCAAAATGATAAGTCATTCGACTTGTTTCCCCACTGTGTACAGAAATGTGCGAAGAAATGATCATCTCTCACAATTGATTCCAGGGTATTTGCCTCAACAGTGTGATTATAGTGGTCCTGAATTCCAGAAAAAATTGAATGCACATCTATCATAGTTTAGTACAAGCCTGCCTAATAGAAACAAATGAAAAGCGAACTCCTGTTTGTAAAAGTAGCTTTTTCTCTTATTTCGCGACATAAAGGCGAACGTATCGGTGTGTCTTTCACAGGCCCCAAATATAGGGAAGGATTCATTATAGTAGAGAGGTTCTGCTATACGTGAAACGTAGAGAAATCACGTAGAGAGCAGGTGTCTGGGTTAGAGTCTACGGCTTCGCGTGTTTTGGCTCCAGATTTCTACGCGGAGATGAGGTTCTCTACGTTGTGGCACACGCAGAGAAAATGCGTACGGATTTGCTGGGTATCGATCAGCTGCATGCAGAAAACTGCCAAATATGGAAGGGGAAATTCCCAGTACACATTCCACGTGACTTCTCTACGTGAAGCGTACAGCAGAACAGGATTTCTTTACGTTACGGGAACGCGAAGAGAGTTCGCGTGATCCTTTGCGTTCCCGAAACGTAGAGCAGAACTTCATTACACACTAGCAAAATGTTGGGATTAACAGCTTGCTGCCCTCGTGATGCTTCAAACCTGCAATTTTGAACAAAAGCGGACAGAAAGTGTTTTTGACCTCCGATATTTTTCACAATGTACCTACCTTTCTCAGTAAGCTTTGATCCAGTGAGCCCAACTGAAAAGGCATCATGACCATTACTAAGGTTTAATAATTATTAATTTTTTATAGAACAGAAAAAGGACCAAGGAACTACAAGTTATGTCCACCACTAACACCACCAGCAGCTACTAAACGATCAGCTCCTGCGATAATATTGCACGACACTGACCGACGGCACTGATGTTCTACACCTAACTGGCTATCAGCTCCAGCACTTACAGATGTACAGACTTACAGCCTGTTTGGGCGCGTTCCCCGTCACTGGAGTTGAACCTTTGAGTTGAACATTGGTGTGAAAGTTGTAGCCTGAAGGCACGGTGACCAGGTGACTGGTGTACGCACGAGCACGTGACCGCGTACTCAACCGTGTTCGATTGGGAATAAGGGCCGAACGCTACATCGCAGCCTTTTCGGACCAAGACCAGTCGACTCCGCATCCAAAAGACTACACCACAACATAGGGGCCAATCGCGGTCATCCGTTCTATTCTAAGAACGAAATGGCACTTTTAGTGACATTTTGCATACAAATCCCCTCTGGCAGGGCGCAGTCGCCCAGTTTCGGTGGAAGTGGCGAGTTCGATTGGGAATAAAGGAGAAAGGGAGCATCTCAGCTTCCTCGGAACATGACTGTTTGACTCAGCATCCCGAAAACCACATGCTCTCTTTGAAAAAAAGAGATGATATACTTCGCAAAATAATCTCAAGGAATTCAGAAATCACTATGTCCATAGCTGGTCGTTTATGTATTTTTTTGTTTTGCGTTATTTTTACAGCGTGACGGCAGACTACCCTATGCAACGCAGGAAGAAGACCTGCGCGTCATTACACTGTCCAAGTACGGTATCAAAGTAATGGATGACAAGGGAGAGGTGAGTGAGCAGTGTGTGTCGACACAGAATTGACCGGTGCAATGCATGAACAACCATTTTGATGTACTGTAAGACCTGTTATTATAACGGGTCGCAAATTTAACGATTGTCCAAAACCCATAGGTTAACGAGAACATACGACAACGATCTTGCAGTCTTCAGGCATATCCGCACATATCACATATGTGGCATTGCAACCTCAACAGAAGAAAAACGAAATGTCACACGTTAAAACGTTAGATTTGCTTCCTCGTTAGATTTACATGTCTTACAGTATCCATTGCAGCTAGCACATTGCAGCTAGCACATTGCAGCTAGCACATTGCAGCTAGCACATTGCAGCTAGCACTTGCTGAGATATTTGCCGTGCCATTGCCATGCAGTCTTCGAGCTCTCGAGCTCTGCACCGTTTGTAGTGAACTCTAACCCAATAAGAAGGTACTTTGCCCAAGGATTGCAATAGCATGAAACTCTAGCAGCAAGAAAACCCTTGTTCTTGTTCCCATCCACCTCTCCGGTTTCTTCTCTCCGCTCTGTTAGGATCCTGTATCTCCATTTCTTTCCACCACCTATCCTGTCTTCTGCTGCTGTGTTTCAGCAAGTTCGAGTGCGCCATGCCCTGCACAGAATAGCAAATCTGGTGTTCTACGAGGATCGCTATGGCAAAGCTATGCTGGCGTTGAAGATAGGCGAGAAGAACAGCGACAAGCACGACATTTACGTCTACGAAGCACCAAGCTCGGTAATAATGAATACTACTACCTCCGACAAGCGAAACTTGGTGCGTTTTTTGATTTTTTTTGTGTTGGTACCAAAACTACTTCACAAGGCTGTGAGGTACGACCTACTTGTAGCTCCACGCAACCGGGTGCAGGAAGCCAAGCGACGAGCTGGTGAGTGGCACACGGCTCAGACTTAGTCAGAGGCCAGCGTGTCTCTCGTGTACCAGCAAAACTGTGCGCGCGTCCATTCTGCGAAGGAGAATCGTCGTGCTTTCGCGTTGCAATGCAAAACCAAGGAGTTCTCTCTCTCCTCTTGGTCACTGCGCCAGCACACAGTCCATGCGTCCATGCCCAACAATCCTAGAGTCTTTCAATAGCCACCAGAGCGATGCGTCTCTGGTGGCTAAGGAAAATCGCCAGGAATTGCTGCAGGCAATTTTGGACAGTTGGCGAGAATACCCTGCAAAACAGTTGGAGTCCAGGCGCTTGTGGAGGTGTTGCACATTTTTTACCACGTCAATCTGGATAGTGGCGGCAGAAACGACTACCCTCGACACCGTGGCTCGAGCACAGCACACAGGAGCGTAATCGAGATTTTCGGAGCGATTACAACAGAGGTACTTGATGCTCTAGTCACACTTTCGTCTCAAAACAGGAACAATTCCTCTCCAGAATAAAACTGTGATCTCTGAATCAGAGGAGAGTTGTTCAGCCTAACAGATGTCTCTAATGTCATTGTTGAGCAATTCAAAGTTGAATTTTGGTGAGTCAATCATTAGTTTTGATTGTAAAGTGTGAGTTATTTAGAGTAATTTGAAGTAAAAAACGCGCCAAGTTTCGCTTGTCGGAGGTAGCACTACAGTGCCATTCTAGAGAGCTGCACATGATGACACTCAGCCCTCCCTTATCCGGGACACCTCACTCAATTATTGTGCCCTCCCTTATCCCGGACACCTTGCTTATTGTGCCTTCCCTTATCCGGGACACCTAACTCAACCATTGTGCCCTCCCTTATCCGGGGCACCTCACTTAAAACCATTGTGCCCTCCCTTATCTGGGACACCTCACTCAACCATTGTGCCCTCCCTTATCCGGGGCACCTCGCTTTTAAAAACCATTGTGCCCTCCCTTATCCGGGACACCTCACTTAACCATTGTGTCCCCTCCCTTATCCGGCACCTCACTCAACCTGCCCTCCTTTATCCGCAGGCACCTCAATCCCGCAACCCTCCCTAATCCAGGCACAACTTTTGTTTCCACTCCCCCCCCCCAGTTCTCGAAAGTAGTGTCTACTAAATCACTCTCCATGCAGTGTCTACTGTCTGTATCTGTCTGTATTCGCACCCCTCTGCAGCAACAAGCCGAGGACACATGTGCAACACTAGCACAAGCATTCGAAAGCGTCTACAGAAATTGGCAAAGGAATGAACTGTCGGGTTGAGAGATCACACAATCTGCAACACCAACATTATCAAGCCGGCTACAGTTTATACAGAGTTATGAACATTTTATGCTATCAACAATTGTGTCATCATTTTGCTGCTGCAAAATGCCACATCAAATTATTCATTTTTCATGCTTGATTGGGATGTAACTAAAAGGTGATTTTAAAATGGTACCAAGAATGGAGGGACGCTATGGCGAGAGAGTAAAAGCAGGAGCGTGCGTGTGGCAAGAGAGCAGCAATACTCTAGCAGTGTAGTGTGTAGCATGAGAAAATGGCTAGTAGACAAAAAAACGTTTTGTGACAAAATCAAAATTAATACAGGTACAAAAAACTAGACCAAAACAAGGCCTCCTAGAGTTGAGTGTCATCCTGCTGTTGGCCTAAGAACG